TCTACTGCTTACCACTCTGCCATCTTAGTGTGCCTAAGAGACTAAGAGACTAAGTCCTAAACAAGGGTGGAGGCCATGGAAGGAGGCTCCTCCCCTCCTGAGGAGAGACAGGAACCAGCACTGTTGACTCCTCTAGGCAGCTGTCTGCAAGACTTAAAGCAAGATGGACTGCAGTACATGTGGGGTTCAGGGCAGGAAGAGTCAGGAGAGGAGGTAGCACAGTGGACAGGTAGTGGAGCTTGTTTACAGAATGAGGAGAGGTGTGGGCAAGGCACCTGAGGAGAGGGCATCCTGGGCTCGGTCATGGGAGCCACTTTTCTCTAACTGAAAATGCATTTCAATTCATCAATAACTTCTTATAATTCTGCTGTATTTCCTACATATTTTGTAGCTTTGTTGCAAACAGACTTATTCAGTTTTAGTAAAATGTACTGGTGACTTCTTGTTATCATTATGACCACCTTTGTCTCTACTAATGTTTTTGGGCTTTTTTTAGATATTTCTGTAAACTGTGCTGTCTTCTGTTAGTGTACACCTTTTGAATCTTACACTAAGTTTAGTTTTTAACCTTTTCATGTTCTTATATTTTCTCTGGAACTCCTGTGAAAGGCATAAAACTGGATTTTGTGACACTGTTAATCTAATCTGAGACTCTTCCAACTCACAAATTAAAGCTATTTACATTAATTATAATTACTGAGCCATCTGAATTTGTTTCTATTATCACATATTATGCTTTCTATTTTTTGTGTTACTTTGCTGGTTTCTTTCATCAGTACAATTGATTAAATATGTAAATATTCTCTACTTACCCTCTGTTGGTCTAGGGTTTTTCAATTCTGTCAGTTAAAAGTTACCCCTACGGTGCATGGGCAGCCATGGGCAGGGAGCACCAGTCTTCTGACTGGCTGGTTCCCTGCCTTGTAGGGGCCGGAAGGAGGGCCCCCGGCGCACAGGGAGCCACGGGCGGGGAGTGCCAGTCTTCTGGCCAGCTTGCTCCCTGTCTCATTGGCACTTGGAAGGAGGGCCCCAGTGCATGGGGAGCCACGAGCAGGGAGCACCGGTCTTCCGGCTGGCTTGCTCCCTGTCTCGTAGGTGCCCGGAAGGAGGGCCCCTGGTGCACGGGGAGACACACAGCAGCGAGCACTGTTGTGCGCCGGCCCTGAGGCTGGCCACTGCTGCCGCTCAACTCAGAGCTACCATGACACAGAGAAACAATGACACAATTGGCCCACATGCACTGGCTGCAGATGCCCACCCACGGACATGTGTGAATCATTCAAACATGGAGAAACCCCT